GAGACGCGCTCTTCCCGACAGGGAGCATATTTCTAAACCGAGGAAAGAAAACTGCTGACTCGGAGTCAATAAGCTTTTCTGAAATTTTACAGAAAAGCCCAGAGCCTGAATGTGTGACAGAACCTGAAACAGATGCTCTGTAATCTGCTCCTTGGAGCTGGCTATTAGTGCCCAGTTGTCCGGGTATGCTAACAGGTGGACTCCCTTCTCCCTGAGAGGAACTAACGCTGCTTCCACATGCTTTGAAAAGGTGTGGGGTGCTAGTGACTGACCAAATGGCAGTACCAGGTATTCGTAGGCTACGTCCTTGAACGCAAACCTCAGAAATTTTCTGTGGTCCGGGTGAATCGCTACATGAACGTAAGCGTCTGTTAAATCGATGGTTGCAAACCAATCGCCCGGGCTGACAGAATGTAGAAGTTGCCTGAGTGTTAGCATTTTGAACTTGTATGTTCGTAGAAATGTGTTTAACACTCTCAGGTCCAGAATCAGATGAAGGCCCCCATCGTTTTCGGATGAAAAAATAATGGCTGTACCAACCTTTGTTCACGTCCGAGGCAGGGACCACACATTTGGCACCTTTTGCCAGTAACATGTTTATTTCCTCTCTCAAAACCACGGCTGCTTTGATCCGAACAACAGTGTTTACCATGATGTTGAAAGGAGGCGGCCTTATGCAAAACTGTAGCCGGTAACACATGGACACAGTTCTTTCCACCCAAGGGGATGGTGTGCATGCGCGCCAGAAAGAGAGAGTGGCATCGCTAGGCGACCAACTTGTGTTGGCGATGTGCTGCTGCCCTCTGTCTTATGAGAGAGGCGCAGCATTACCTGACTGTCGCCCATAGCTTTTTGATTTATTTGTGTGCAAAGTTTATACTTTGACAAATTTGACACATTTACACAAACGTTAGAAACAGTTGTGCTTTGAACATTTAGTGCACCCAAACTGGGGGCTTTTAGTGCAAACACTATGTGAGTGGGGTGGGACTGGTGCTTGGGAGACTGTGTGAGGGAAACGCAGTGCCTCTTGGGGCTGGTTCCCTGAACAAAACAAACAAGATGCCTTTTGGGCAGCAGCCGATAGCAGGCGATCATGTCTCCCTGGCCCTGAAGTGACAGTCCCACAGCTAGGAGGACTGTCTTCTTCCTCCAAGGCGTCGGGCCCTTCAGAATACCCAGAGGGGGGGCCCTTGCTCCAAACCGAATGACGGGGAGGTTGGTCGCGGTTCTGAGACTGTACTGACTGGGTGCTCAGGCTCCCAGGGAGCACTGTTCTCTTAACAAGAGGCGGCTGAGCAGCCGGCTTCTGTGTGCTAGTCTTTGGTCTCGCGTCATGTCTGGGGACAATACAGCGCAGGGCTTCAGTCTGCTTTCCCCTCAGCTCAAACTTCATCTGAATGACGTCGAGAGACTGACCAAATAACCCAGCAGCGATAACTGGTTCATCCAGGTATGCAGCTCGGTCTCTGTCGGGAACATCAGAGAGCGTCAACCACAGATGCCCCTGCGCCACCACGGTTGAAGCCATCCCTCTGCCCAGGGAGAGCGCTGCACAGCGGGACGCACGGAGAATGTAATCCGCTGTGAGTCTGACTTCGTTAAAGAAAGGTAACAGAGGACTCTTTGGCGATACTAGAGCTCCAAGCTCCACCAGAGACATAGCTTGGTATGTCCGCGTGCAGTGGTGGCCTGAGCCCTGTAAAAATTTTCAAGCTGCGCAGCAGAAAATCTACACAGAAATACTGTCCATAACCGGGTACTGTGACGCGGGTGGACAGAGGTTTGCTCCAGCAGGACATCACCTCCGAGTTGAAGTCTGGGAACATGTGAAGACGGTTTTTCACCGCGGTCGGTTCAGTGGGGAGAAAAATCCGCGAACCGCGACGGTTTTTGTTCTGAACCATACGATGACACAAGGAGAGAACATACATGTGTTCCTGGTCCGCCTCCGCAGAAGCAGGGCATCTAGACCGGGCCGGGTTCCTCGTTGTCTTTCAACAGATGAACATCCAAGCCAATATAAACGGCTAACCCCTCCTGTACTCTACTCGGTCCGCCTAGCTGGAAGCGGGGACTTTGACCGACAAATATTCCTCGTCAGACTCGGACGGAACTGGGTTACTGGACTCGGAGAGGAGTAGGTCCTTTCGTGAGACCACGGTTTCGCCCAGCACTTTTTCTAAGGACTTAACCCGTCCCTCCAGGGTTGAGCGACGAAGCTGGCGGCGGAACGCACATGCTTCGGGCTCCGTCAACGCTCTCTGAGTGTGAACGACCCTCAGACAGACTGGGCAAGACTCGTGCTGGTCCCTCTCATGGAGCAAGAAGCCGCGCCCACAGGGGTGACCGATGACCTCTGCTCCTTGAGGTAATTTTGTGCTCATCTCGAACCACAAAATATTATATTTTGTTGAAATGAAAGGCTACTCAAAGCTAGCATTCCGCGGGCGGACACACTTACCTGTAGGCAGCGGCGGCCGACACCAACAAAAGCAGTTAAGCTAACTTTAA